TAATCTGTTTAAATCAGCATTGATCACTGGCATTGTGAGAGTTAATAGACTGAAATGGCTGGGACGTATTGAAGGAATGTCAGATGACAGAGAAATAAAAAATGTTTACACAAGGGAGGTGAATGGTCGTAGGCCATGAGGCAGACCAAGAAGACAATGGAGAGATAATGTCCAGATAGACCTGCATAACACCTGGTGTCACCAACTGGAAAGAGAAGGTCAACCAGAGAAGTGAGAGGGGGCAGGTGATATCTGCAACACTGAGCTTCAAGGGCTCGGAACGCTGAAGAAGAAAAAAAGAGACTAAGGACCCCCCCCCCCCCTTTTTCAAATATATACTAGCCTTATATATTGATTCTCTCTATATATTTTATTTTTTTAAGGCGGTTCAGTACGGATTCAAATCCACGACCTCTGGACCCACAGCCCAGAATCTAGCCGTTTAGCCACGGCAGCTGTCTGTTAAAAGTACAGTTTGATTTGTTACAGGTACATTATCACTGGCATGGGTACAGTTTTATTTGACTGCAACTACAATTTTAATCTGACTGTCACAGATACAAATTTGATATGCCACGGGTACAATTTGACCTAACTGTCACAGATACAAATTTGATATGCCACGGGTACAATTTGACCTAACTGTCACAGATACAAATTTGATTAGCCACGGGTACAATTTGAGCTAACTGTCACAGATACAAATTTGATTAGCCACGGGTACAATTTGAGCTAACTGTCACAGATGAATTAAAGATACAGATTTGATATGCCAGGGGTACAATTTGACCTAACTGTTAAAGATACAGATTTGATATGCCAGGGGTACAATTTGACCTAACTGTTAAAGATACAGATTTGATATGCCAGGGGTACAATTTGACCTAACTGTTAAAGATACAGATTTGATATGCCAGGGGTACAATTTGACCTAACTGTTAAAGATACAGATTTGATATGCCAGGGGTACAATTTGACCTAACTGTCAAAGATACAGATTTGATATGCCAGGGGTACAATTTGACCTAACTGTCACAGATACAAACTTGATATGCCAGGGGTACAATTTTACCTAACTGTCACAGATACAAATTTGATATGCCAGGGGTACAATTTGACCTAACTGTCACAGATACAGATTTGATATGACAGGGGTACAGTTTGACCTGTCACAGATACAAATTTGATATGCCCGGGGTACAATTTGACCTAACTGTCACAGGTACAAATTTGATCTTCGAGTGTACGTGGTGCTCAAGTCGTTAGAACCGCTGGAGTTCTACATCTGCAGGGAGGGTCTGGCTCGCTTCTCGACGCTGCCCTACGAGACGCCGAGCAACAAGAACATGCACGAGACATTCATGCATTTAACAAACTACTCACTCAATAAGAGAAGCACTGATTTCAAAATTTCAGACAAGGTGAGTTAGTTAACAGGTATTGTTTCTTGTAGGTTTCTTGTTTCTTCTCCTTCTTTTGCTTTTCATTCTTTGGACAGATTTTTAGCAAACGACTGACTGACTGACTGACTTTCTACCCCACCAGGACATCACACAAGCGATAAACACCCGATGACATAATGTGCAACCATGTGGGTGAGGATCACCGTGGAGAGGTCTCATAAACGGCGTTCAGCCTTTAGGCCATATTTATGGCCAGGCTATATTGCGGCCCCTGGCAAGAGCCAGAGTAGGGCTTTAAAAAACAAAACAAAATTTGTCCTAAAAAGGACGAAAAGTGCACGAGTTAACGACAAATCCAGTTAGCCTCAATTAGGTCGAAGCATGGAAAAGAAACAAGAAACATAAAAAGTTAAAAACACACTCACACACACACTCGCATGCAAGCACGCACACACACACATATACACATGCAAACAAACACACATTCAGAGACACATTTACACACGCAGACTCATACATATGAATTTCGGATTCCTGAAGGTTTATTGGAAGGGGACTGTACTCCCAAGCAAAAATATTTCCTCCCTCTTCTCAGCACTATCCTATTAAGCACTTGTCTGTTCTCAAGAATGTAAACTGAGTATACATGTTTATTTATTTCAGATTTATTTATGTATCAGAGAATCGATCAGTGTGTAAATTATTTTATACAACCCCCATCAATGTTTAAAAAGCCAATAATCAAAATGATTTGGCCCCATGGGAATGGATAAGTCATCTCCCTTTATTTATTATGGGGAGAATTTGTGTGGTATACATTTTGTTTGGTATCCGTCCAAGGAAGTGGGAGGATTAATGACATGTACCTAGGCACGACTGTGTTTTGATTTCAATGTCTGCTTCAGGATGACGAAGGCAGCAAGCGGAAGATGTCAGCTGTTCTCAAAATGTTGCACAGAATGGGGCACGACGTGCGGTTGCTATGGACCAAAATTGAGCAGCTGGTGACCAAAACTTTAATTGCGGTTGTGGGAGAGCTGAAAGTGGAGCATCAAGCAGCGATACCAGCTGGCAGAGCTGGGCCATCTTGCTTTCAGGTGAGTTTGTGTTTTTGATCTATGAACAGGTTTGTGGGGGAAAATAAATTCTACAGTAAAGATTTGATGTTCTGTATAGGAATTTGCTACATGATGATGGTGGTGGTGGTGGTGGCGGTGGTGATGGTGGTGGTGCTGGTGATGGTGCTGGTGATGGTGGTGGTGGTGGTGGTGGTGGTGGTGATGGTGGTGGTGATGGTGGTGGTGGTGGTGGTTGTCGTGGTGGTGGTGTTGTGGCGGTGGTGATGGTGAATATACTAACCCTATCATCTTTGCCAAATGAAAAAAAGAATTACTAAAACCTTTATAAATCCTACTTTGATATATGGAAGTGTATCATGGACAGTTGGTAGATTAGTGAAAACTTATTTGGAAGCTGCGGAGATGTGGTTTTATAGACGAATGACGAGAATACCCTGGACAGATAAAAAGAGTAATGAAGACGTCTTGAAAGAAATTGCCTCACGAAGAGAACTGATTGCCTACATCAGAAAGAGACAATTACATTCTTTGGTCAAGTGGTGAGAAGGAGAAAACGGGAGTACAACATGACAGTAGGAAAGTTGGAGAGGAGGAGAGGCAGAGGGAGACCGAGAGAAAAGATGCTGGACAGTTTGACACCATGGCATTGAAGATCATCTGTGTCAGAATTGATTTAAAGTACACAGAAGGTTGTGTATGGACATGACTACCACCACAACACGTCATGTACCATAAGGAGAAGAAATCAAACAATCAAACAGCAGAAAAAAGAATCGGAAGCAAAAAGAAATTTATATTTGCTTAAATCACAGCTAACTAAGATGATCATCTTTGCCCAATGTTTTTAGGTCTTAGAGTGAGCACAAATTAGAAAAATAATTTTTCATAGTGCCTACATTTCTTAAATTATTTTGTTCAACATTGTCTTCAATGAAGAAAAGAACCCAAAAAAAAATGCGTAGGATGCTTTAATTCCGTACACCACTGGATCAAGGATACTCGCCTAGCTGGAGAATCTACAAGTACGGACAGAATAATGGCCTAAGAGATATTCTCTTACCAATGAACACATTTAGAAACCACCTGTGAAGTTCATGTGCGTTGAGAAAAACTGCAGACAATACCGGAACCGCATTGTGTATGAATCATCTTAAATTCACTGAGAAACTCAGAAAGACTGAAAGTGGTTTTATCGGCTCCTCAGAAGTAATCCAGCAAGATTGTCGACAGCGTGACTCATTACTAACATGGGTAATGGAAGAAAAGGCGGCAGAGGGCGTCGAGGTAAGTCGATGGAATAAAGAATAGTCACTGGGTCTTAGACGTTCACAGAAATTCCAATACACCAGAGCAGCCCAAGCGGCAACCTGTCTGCAACAACATAGTCATCTTTCCAAACATCTTGCAAGCATAGTGACGCAGGGCACATACTAGCATTTCACATGATTCTCTAATTCCTAGCTGCCTATAATGAGGCGTCAGGTTTGAAGAGCCCTTGGGGCGAGCCTTGATTTGTGCCGCGTCTGGGCTCCAAGATTTAGGGCTATCAAGCTCAAACGGTCATTCCCGTATTTTGTGGTCGAATGCATATCAGCTGCCTCCCCGCGCCCCCTTTTTTTTCTGGCGAACGCTTTGAAGGCGCGGACTAAACCAGGTGAGGGTAGCTATGCTCTTTTGGTTTAAACTCCCTTCGGGTTGAAGTTTAGCTCTGGCCTATTCCAAGCATGCCAAGACTAGACTACCGGCAATGCAGGATCTTTTTCGCATTTTGGTTTCAAGTTGGTTCAGGCAAGACGGCGACACTAGCAAACGCTGTGAGAGCGCAAAGAGCGTGGCGCGGTACATAAAGACGCCCTGTTCATTCCACTTGCACCTAGACGAATATCTCCAGTCGTCCTGACCTCTGTCTTGCCACTGAACCCAAGAAGGACGTCATGCCTAGAGAGTGAGGTCGAGCGACACTGCGCAGTTCTTCCGGCACGTAATAGATCCAAGTCACCCGCACAAGTCACTCTTTCATCACCATCTCATATAGATATGTATATTTTGTTGAGCATGCCAGCACTCTTACACTGCAGAAACATCGACAAGCTGGTTCTTACGACAAAAACTCCTTAGAAGAGTGGATGTAACCTTTGTCACAGGCATTCTCTTTTCTCGGAATAAAAACCAAACAAAAACAACACAGAGCGGCACAACCCATACCCTGAGCGACAGTAGACCAGCCCAACACAGGTATGCCAATGGAAACGTGACCTACTTTTTTGGGGAGACGTAACATCGAACTAAATCCCATCTCTTCTAGTTACATTTAGAATCGTGGTGGATCATTTCTGTTCTGTTCATTAGCATTCATAATAAAACTTGTATTTGTACAATCTGTTTCTCATTCATGTTCTCGGCTTCGACATCATCCTCCTGAAAAATTCTACAGCCAATGTTACTGGAGGTAAACGCAAACGCCAAGCCTCAGTATCACCGAAGTAACATGAAAAGTGAGGATGGCTGTGTTAACTATGTGGTTTCCAGTAAAGATGAGGATGTGAAGAGGGCACTCATTCGGGATACCCTGACTCTGGTAGCTCCAAAACACAAGTTGACACGGAGAAGGTAAATTAGGGCTCAGTCTCTCAGGGGTTTTATAGGTTGTGTGTGATGAAAGCAAGGCAAAAGTTCAAATGGACAAGTTCACTTGCCGGTAATTATCATCATCAAGAGCAGGTCGTTTGCAGAACGTCGCTCTTACCATGGTCTGTCTGGAAGAAGCTTGGTCTCTTGTCAGCTTTGCAGAATGTGTCCGATCATGGTCTGTCTGAAAGAAGCTCGGTCTCTCATCAGCTTTTTAGAACATCGCTCTTATCACGGTCTACCTAAAAAAAATAATTCTCAGTCTTTCACCAGCTCTTCCACAAAAGAGTCACGTATATCTTGTGCCCATCTTCGTTTTGGTTGACCCCTTCTTCTCCTTCCTGGTACCATGCCTTCTGCCATTATTTTCTTCACGTCCCGGTATTGGATATTTAATCATTTCAAAACTGTGCCATCATTGTTTCAGTCCTCCAAGACTGCCCCACACACAGTATTTCAATGCAAAACTTTTGGCCTAGAGAAACACGTGCACAAGACAAACTTTACGGTTCACTGAGTGAATTACAAAAGACAGTGAAGTTTTTACTAGAGACAACATTGCAGACGTATATAATCTTTTTCAAGCGAACAAGAGGAGAAGAAGAAGAAGAAAAAGAAGAAAAGGAAAAAGAAGAAGAAGAAGAAGAAGAAGAAGAAGAAAGAAGAAGAAGAAGAAGAAGAAGATTTTAAGAAGTAAGAAGAAGAAGAAGCATAGAAAGGAAGAAGAAAGGAGAGAGCGTAAGAAGAAGGTTCAGTTTCCTTTTTACAGTGATAACTGATTAAAATTAAGAAAGTAAATGAATCCTTTGAACTGAAATACATAATCAACTACATTCAAAAACCGTCTTTAATCAATTGTTATTGTAGTAGCATCTGAAGAGATACAACAAAATATGCCAGGCAATAAATTGTGCAATCTATTGGTTGTGTCTTTTTTAAATCCAAATTCCCAACTTGGAAACATTGCTTTGTTAATCTGATATAGATCGCTGGAGCATTTTTTTTAATATACGAAGCACCACATTAACATCCATTCGATTTCTTGTTTGGTTTTTATTACTGGCATGTCTACGAACTAAGAAAACCTCTGGCTTGGCACCTCTTGACGCTTGTGAAGTTCCTTGGAGAAGTACTAGATAACATGATGCCTCCCACACTTGCCAAAAGTCCAGAGGGTCACTCAATGATGTCAATCTTACCAGTTACAGCTCCCGCTCAACAATAACATAGAACTCCGAACACAGGTCCACCGTCAAAGTCCTCACTATATTTAGATACCATAAAAACGGATTGCATCACAAGATAAGCTTAATTACATTATTACAGTCATTCCTCCTCCTACACAGGTATGCATAAAGCACATTGCTCCGAAGGATTTCTCCTGTCACATTATGTCCAGTGGTTGTTCCGGGCAATCAGTGCCCGATCGCACAAATCCACTTTCATGATTAACGTGCCTGTCATTCCAACGACACCTATATGTTGAGGCCACCGTCGCTAGAGACCATCCAGGCCGATGCACATCTTTGTGAAAACTATCCAGACCTCTCGTCTGCGACCTGTCATATTATCTTGGGGATCCCTCACGCTGGAAACCTGTTACTGCGGCAGCATCCACCAACAACATGAACACTGTATTCCACGTGGTGCACAAGTCTAGCCTGGCAACATTCATAGAACATACATTTACACGTCCTTCATCTCCAAAGTTGTGGAGCCAACCATCTCTCTCTCTCTCTCTCTCTCTCTCTCTCTCTCTCTCTCTCTCTCTCTCTCTCTCTTCACATCCTGTTCGACCTTGTACTGCCATGTTTTTCATTCATTATTAAACTTCCCTTTCATATACCCATATATTGCACACAACAAAGGGAATAACTACATACCCTACCTCGTTACATCATTAAGCACAATTTGTAGCCGGCCCGCCTAAACTTTCTCGTGGCCCACCAGTGCCAGGGTTTGAAGAACACTGATTTAAAACACATGGAAGTAACTGAAAAAATCAGCCATTTTTACTTTTAAATGTTTTACATCATTTTAATCAATAAATTATACACCCAAAAAAAAGAGACACACAAGGTTTTTACTGTACGCCCCACCCCAAAATATTTCTGTTTTCACAGAAGGCGGCACAGACATAGACATCATAACAACAGTGGTGAAGAAGACATGGACACCAACAGTCAAGAACAGCAGAAACGTAGACACAATCATAGACATGAACGAGATATCACCATTAGACATGTCGATAGCAACGATAATGTAGAAAAAGTCAATGTTTTGATCACATCAGGTATGTCCCAGAAATAAAGCGTTTCTTGGAAATGAGACCCAGGCTGAAGCTGAATCTTCTTTTCGCTAGACATGAAACTCTGATTAGAAGACAGGAA